ACAAAAATAAATATAAAACATATTTTCTTTTAGACATAGAGACAAATGGTAATAAATCAAAAAGACTCGATGAACAAATGATTCAATGACTCAAGGAACAAAAATAATACTCATCGCACCTAATAGTTTATGTAACAAATGATTCAAAGTTACCTCTGCTCAATCCTTCCTCGTGCCTTGAATGGTTCCTCACGCAGTCAACAGTGGTGGTCGTTGAAATTAAATAGCTACCGTTGAAGTTTGCAAGTGCTTGTTCAATTTCTAAACGTTTCGAGCTTGAAGATTGAAATTTACTACTGCTTCTTCTTCGCTGGTCTGATGTTCTCTTTGAAATTTGGGAGCTGTTTTCTTCACCGAGGGTAAAAAGGATAAATAGAAAATAAAAATCTCTTTTTTTTTTCCTTTTAAATAGAAAAAGCTGGTAAAAAAAGCTTTAAACCGAGTCAAAAGGCCCATTGCCACAACTCTCACTTACCTTAATATATTTATAGGTTTTTCCTAAATCATAATCTTATTAGGATTAGTAAAGGCCTAACCTAATTGAACTCAAGTACTAACAAATTCAATTAATTAAACTTAGCCAGTACAAAAAGTTCACTAGTAATTATTAAGTTCACTCAACAGTTAGGCTTATAACATAATACTTAGTACTTACAGTCTACACTTGTAAGATTTGGGTTTGAAATTTGACGTTCACAACTTGTCATGTCTTACACCTTTCTCCAAGCAATTGTAAAGTAATTTTAATTTGTATTTACAAGCCAAAATCACATGTTCACACATAGGTCCGTTTGGTACTCATTTTTTTCAAAGTACATTTCTCTTTCTCTTCTTTTCAACCATACATTCTTTATTAAAATAATATTACACGTAAATCAAAAAAAATTTCTTATTTTTCAACCACTCATTTCCCATTTATTTACTATTCAAAAATACATTTTTACATAAAAATGTCTCCCAAATACCCTCTATATATATATACTTAGCACAGTTACTAGAAGTTATGGCTCATAGAACGTAGTACTACAAAGTAGCCTAGCTTGGATAACAGTTGTCCTCTACACCATCGTCATCTAAACTACTTACTAGCTGAAAACATGCTCTAGATCGAGGGACCACCCTTTATATAAGAAACCCCTTTCCTACGTAACATGTTCAAGAAATCGAGTAAGAAAATTATACATACATAAACACAAATTTAATGCACACTCTACCCATTTTTACAGTTTATTAACTTGAGTATCATAGCATAATAGCAAGTACCAAAACGATGCCAAGAGAAGATTTCATGAGAAGAAAACAACTTAGCAATATACGAAAATAATAGACTTACATAGACTATTTAGTAGGATTCAATGTCAATCCAAAACGAACTGGAAGAATCATGGTATCCAATAAACTTGAAGCTATGTCACGATGACCTAGTACGTTAAGTCATTGTTTGGTATAATTTAAAAGTTGACAAAAATATAAGTTGAAGACAACATTAATTTTAATTATAAATAAATTTCACGGAATTCACACCTTTTATAAAAAATAACCATATATTTCATCAACTTTTGTCAAAATTTACTAAAATTATGATTTTTAGACGTTATACCAAATAGATACTAATATTTTTAAATACTTATTCGTTTTAGATTCATGGTCACACTAATTAGCAATAAAAAACTTGCATCCTTTCTATACATGGCAATGAATTGTTTGGTAAAAATGTATCTTCTATTATGGTAAATGAATGGGATTTTTGGCAAGGGTTGATACAATCCTCTTTTGTCCAAAGAAAGTTATATTATTATTACCTGTATAATGGCAGATAAATAAATAAATAAACTCATATCATAACCCCAAAAATGTAATAACACTAATTTTTAAAAAAAAAAGGGTAATTGGCGCAAAACATCCTTAACTTTCGAGGTTATTGTGGAAAACGTCCCTACCTTTCATTTTTTGGCATTTTTGCCCTTATTTACCACCTTTCTTGCGCTGAAGGTCCTTTTCACTGTTTTTTGACGATTTTGCCCTCTATTCAAATAAAAGAAAAAGAATAGAATAGAAAACAAAAGAATTAATTACAACTAATACCCCAAAATTTCAAAAAATTACAAATTAGTAATAAATATAGGAGTTAATAGCCCAAATGGTTACTAAACTTTGCCAAAGGTCCAAAAAGGTCATTGAACTTTTTTAAATACAAAAAGGAAAAAAAACCAAAAAAACCAACAAAAAAAATTGAAGAAACGGGCCCCACCAACAAAAAAAGGACAAAAATAATAATAATAAAAATAAGGAAGGTGAAAATGGAGGAAGGTGAAAAGTAAA